AGAGAACAGACCGGTTTCTAAGCCTCTTGCGATCTCTTAGGACCAGCTCCGCTGTAGCGCATCCGGTCCTAAGAAGTCGCAAGAGGCTTAAGAACCGGTCTGGTCTCTCTCTGTCTTACCCGGTCGCAAGAGTGTGAACGGCGCTTAATTGGAAGCGGAACTCCTAGAAATTAACCCGGTTACCGATATATTTAGTCGGTTCGGCACAATCGTCATGAATAACCAATTCACACCTCGAGGCCAGATCTTCAGCTGCCATGGACATTTGTGATAGACGCGGAATCGTCGAACTGCCGCTTCCTTTTATAAATCCATGTAAAAGGCGAACTTTCACTGCCAGATATATAGACAGTTCAGTTTTCGTTGCCATCCCATCGACTTGATAGGCTCTATTGTGTCAGTTCTGCAGCAATGCTGTTCTGTTTCCAGTTTTCGTCAGAGAATGAACTTGTCAGATTTAATCCTGTTATTCTAGGTCAATTTTATCCTCACAACCGACAACGTCCTCATTGTGAGGTAGAAAGGATCTAGATAAATGATCAATTTTGCAGTTCTCGTGGTCAAAAAAATTTGGCATTAATAAAAATGAAAGTTAAACTTTTTTTGTTTCGTTTTTTTTTTCCCTAATATTTGGCCGTTGTACATAGTTCCCCCGTTGTTAATACACCATCCGTGTATAACACAAGGCACGTCCGTGTTCTGTTTTGTGGCGGCATCAGTTGCATTATATTCCTCTTGACGACCGTAAAGGATGGCGCGGTTAAGGCGCCTAACTCTTTGGCGGGTAATCCCTAATAGGCTCGAAGTGTAAAGACCACATAAATATCTAATATAATATTAAGTTGAAGCAAGCGGTTCAATCAACTAGCCGCGACGAAAGTGGTTTCAAATTTGTGTTTCTAGCATGTCCTCCACCTCTCGTGCTGCCTGTGCGCTGGCCTCTTTGTCAGATGATCCTGCAATTCCGTCTATGACTCCTTGAGACCAATAGCAGTTGAATCCGACTACGAGGTCAATAAGCCTCCCGAGCTTGTCATTGAGTAGAGAAATAATCTCGGTCGTTGAAATGGGCGCCGCATCTAATCACCCCAATCACCCGTTCATTCATGGAATGAATGGTTGATCACTAACAGCGCTGCTGCAGTCAATGGTCGCGTAAACATTAACGTCTTTCCCAAGAACACACTGAAGGATTGTTTTGCTTGGCGAAACGGTAAAATATAAAATTAATCGCAAATCATTGCATTGTTATATTTCTTGTGGCGGGGTTCATGTTGCACTGTCGTGCGACGTGAACCGGTTTGAGCGAGTCACACAGCGGAGAAATGCTAATGTTCTTCTGGATGATTTTTATGTGCGTAACGCACAGTGAATCTACATTCGTTTGGAGCATGGTGAGCTGTACTTATCGGTAATACGCAGACATTGTGTGTTCACGGAAGAGACCAAGTCGAATTTAAGGGGCTTTGCGTGCCAAGCCAACGAAGGGAATCTGGCACGCTTTAGCGGATTACCGAGGATTAATTTCCACCCTTTGGGGATCCTTTGACGTGCAGCCACAATATCGGTTAGACGCCACCTGTTCATAGAGGAGGCCTTTTCAACTGCTCTTATTGTAAGTGATGTATACTACTAATTCATGAGTACTTTTTGTTTATTGTCACAAGGAATTGAGAACACTCTAAATAACTTGATTGTTTATAAAACTGCTTGAATATATACAATTATATTAATGTTCTCCAAAATAGAAAACGCAAAACTAGAGAGCCTCAAGTAAGAGTGTGTTCAACACACACATTAGGGAGAGTGTTTGCAATTTAATGGTGGCATTGGAAATGGCTGATTATACTCTTGTTTTGCATTTAAAAAATACTTATCCTATTGGAAAAAATGGTGTCGAAAGAAAAGTGTTATTTGTTTCTTCGCGTAAAATATTCATACATCTCCATGGCTCTTTATCACCGTAGTTACGTTGAAACACCACACGTAGCCCCATAGACCCACAGCAAACTTTTGCGAATTAATGGCGCCCATAAACACGCAACCCCGGTCGAGCAGTTCAACACACTCTTACTTGAGGCTCTCTAAGCACAACTAGTGAAATATGTAGCATACATTTTCAACAATTTTTGTCACTTTGTAACATTGCGGACGACTGGAAGATAAGAAAGGTCGTTCCCATTTTTGAAAGTGGAGATTGTTATGTTGTAGGGAATTAAGTTTCCATCTCCATAACCAGTGTTTTGAGTAAGCTTTTTCAGTACATCATTTTTTCCCACGTAACCGCAAAGTTTGAGTCAAAAATGTTTATTTTTCATAAATATCAATACTGTTTTAGTAAAAGGTCTTCCTGTGAGACACAATTGCTTGAATTTACTTATAATCGCCTCCTTAATATTACCTATAACTCTCAAACTGGCGCCATAATTTTTAAGGCATTAGGTTGTGTATCTTATTCTCGTCTTATATCCAAGATTTCTTCAATTAATTTTGATTCGTTAACCATCTCACGTATTCGTAGTGTTTATCATTTCGGTTGCAGTATGCTGTTTCAGTATGGTAGTACTAATGTAACTTCGGGAGTCTCTCAGAGCAGCGCCCTGGTTCGCTACCATTTCCTATATATATAATTGATTGTAAAATTTTATTGACATCTAATATAATCTCGTATGTTGACGACAGTGTCTCGTATGTAAAAATTAACACACCGGATGACCATCTATTTTACATAAGGGGTGCGAAAAGTGGCTAATGCTGCCAAACAAAAGTAAATGACGGGATTAATTTTACTTGAAAAGCATCTCTCACAATTCTCATACACCTTCGGCAATACACCCTGTCACTGTATCTTCATCTTACAAACATCTGGGTGTCCTCTTTAGATCTGGCGTTTCATGGGCCGTTCATATTTACACCATGACTGCCGACGGGTCTAGAACTCTTGGCAATATAAAACGCAATCTCAAACAGCTTCTACGTACCTCCGCATACTAACTAACGAAACATATCGATTCTAAACTGAAATATGCATCACAATTTGAACTCCTCATCAGAAACACTTAATATCTCGCATTTAGGCAGTCCAGAATCGAGTAGCAGGCTTCATAGAATCTTCCCATTTAACCAACTTAAGTGCGTCATTTTAGTTTTCTCTACCTTTGCTTAGAGTGCGTCGAACTATTTTTCTTTTGTGTTAATTCATAAGTATAATAGATTGGCTGTTTCTCGAGTGTTTTCTTCTTTTAACCACCTAACAGATTATTCCAGCGCACCACAAACAGAAAAACTTTTCTACGTCTAGCTGGTTCAACAAACGCATACCTCGTCAGTCAACTCATCTGTTCCACGTCGAATTGGAGCTTGGAGTGACCTTCCCGAATTTCTAGTGCTCATCCCTGGTGCCCCATTCGTTCCGAAAAAATGTTATCTTTATTTTTTTATTTATTTTTTGTCGACTACACTCCCATTTCGGGGTCGATTGAAGTTGTTTCAGGTAGATTTCTAAAGCAACACTTTCCCTATGTGCAACTCGAGGAGGCGACGCCACCCAGCGTACACGTCCTAAAGCAGAGAAGAGGAAAGCTAGCGTCTATCCGAATGTGCAGCAAAACCTGGCTCGGCCAGGCGGGCGAAATGTGAAACAGAGGATCGGGAACAAAATGCACGCTGTAAAAGTTGCGAATATGAAAGCCTTAGAGGCGACACGGGAGTGCCCTCCGACGGTGCGTTGTTGCCTGCCTCGCTTTGACGCTCTTGTTGACCCACTCTTGTCGCCGACCTCTGTCTCTACGCCACGCACTCTAAAAAAGTCTGTGCGTCTACTTTCATGCACAACACTCGGAGAGCCCATCAGCGCAACTTACAAGGGGAGCTCAGCGAATGACGATGCCGAAACATACATTTATACCAAAAAACGCAGTCTAAGTTGTCTAAGCAATGCAAAACGTCACGCTCGCATTGCTTAATGTCATAACTCAGACTGCGTTTTGTAATCTAAACATGTTTCGGCATCGTCATTTGCTGAGCTCCCCTTGTAAGTGGCGCTGATGGGCTATCCGAGTGCTGTGCGTGAAAGTAGACGCACAGACTTTTTTAGAGTGCGGTGTCCTATTCCAATAAGCTATGCTGGAACTGGCCATATATACGCTATTCCGCCAATCGCCTTCTGCGCCCTAACATCTTTGTCCACTTGACCCTGAAATGCATTCTGAGCACGCGCAGCGGCTCTCTTCCACGGGATATATCAGACGCAGCGCGTGCGTTTAAAGCTCAATGATTGGGCACTTTACGCCCAACTGCATGGTGAGTGATGGAAAGGTGCGCACACCGTGATTTCTCTCCTGAAACCAAGCACCCTCACGTTATGGTCCCTGACAGCTTAGGAATTGCAGGCCATGATACGTTACGAATGTCCTATCATCACTCCTCAGCCAATGAGATCGTGGCATTGACCGATAAGGATGCCAAAGAGCGATACCCAAAGCGAGAATCGTGAAGCTACCAAGTCACGCCCTGCTTTCCTTGAGTTCTCACTGACACGAAGTGTGTCGATGCCACGAAGTGTGACTTGCACCCCCCTTGACTTCGGTGTGCACCATTTCAACAAATGAAGAAGAGACGGTCGCCGCCTCCAGCGTAGCGGCTATTTCGCGTCTGAATTCTTTCGTCCGGTCAGCGGAATAAGTTCAATATACGTCCACGGCACGACGAGGCGGCATGTAATGAAAGCGTTCACGATCTTACTGTACTTGCTTTCTGTCCCCTGTATCGGCGTTATTTGATTTGATTAACACGGCTTTTGTCTGTTTTTGTGCTTTAGCTTTTTGTATCGTCATCGAAGTCACGATTTTGTTTCGTGAAGATATGCGGACGACATTTTGAGGCGAAGCACATGAAACATTTTACACAAAGATGTATAATATTCCGGGAAAAAAAAAAGTTAAATGCTTTGCAATAATACGCAAGTGCCTACTCATTAGAACAAAAGAATGGATAATATATACGTAGTAGAAAGAAGCTTTATTTTTTGTCTAAAACGGTTTAACATAAGAACAGTACAGCGCCAGTATTTCGAGAAACTTGGATTTGACAATTAAATAGTTCAATTGTATTCTAACCTTATAATAATTAGGTAAATTTCAAAACCAAATTCTAATATTTTAATATTTATTTCACTATTGCAGGTAGTTAATACCTCTGTTTTAGAAAGTATAACGCCTAAGTACATACGATCAAGAACAAACCTAATGCCCATAAAAAGCATATTACAAACCCAACAATTCTATAACGAATCGCTGTTTTTTATTTTATCTTGCTCCTCGGTCTTAAAATGCAATGCAAACGCATATTTTGTCGTCAGATCATCTGTATCTTCAGAATTTCAAGAATACAAAGCATAACAACGTTTGTATTTTATACGTACTGACAACACATATCTAAAGATTAGGGGGCGTACATGCCTTTTAAGCCGGCCCGAAGATTAACGTTTCTTAGCTGCCGCCTTACCATCGGAGTAACTAAAACTCGAGGTCTGTCCGAAGGTTGAACTCTGCCCAAACCCACCAAGATTGGGACCAAAGTTTCCGCCGAGCGAACCAGCCGAGGCAGCCGCGACCTGTTTTTGGATATTCATCACTCCCAGATTGAATAGCCCAGCTCCAAAAGGTAGTTCAGCACCACCTCCAAACTGGAAGTTGGGATCAAGAATAGGATTCTGTATCGGTTGGGGCAGAATTCCTGGAAATCCTGTCTGAGGCCTGTCAATCCCTCCTCCTTGACCCGAGAACTCTGAACCTGACAATCCCCTGTCCGGATGTCCTGGTGCCGATATTTCTGGACCTGAAAACCCTGGACCGGGTTGTCCGGCTCCTGAAAGTTCCGGACGTGAGAGTCCCGTAAATCCGTGACCGGAAAATTCCGGACGAGCATGTCCGGCCCCGGAAAACTCTGATGCCGGAAACCCCTGCCCTGATGGTTCTTGTTCCGATCTGGGCGGACCAGCACCGGAGTAATGGGGCCCGACGCTTCCAATTCCTCTGCGACCTTGGTCAATTCCTGAAAGCCCCGGGCTTTGACCATTTGCTTCTGATATGGGTATGTTAAGGGGTCTTGAGTTGTCTGGAACGAAGCCACTGGGTCTGTAGTTGGGCTGGACATCTGGTGAATTCGGGCGGTAGTCCGGGCTCTGTTGCGATGTTCCTATGTCTGTAGGACGATGAGGTCCTACGAGATAAACACAATATATAATGCCTTTTATTTGTTTTTCTTAAAAACAGTTTATGTCAATCTGGCATAGAAATATTGAGCCTGTTTGTTTACGTGTATAAAAACTGAGGTTATGTGCCATCATGCCTAAGAGCTTTCTATCTTGCGATTTCTTTCTGCATATGTTACGTTCCAGTCCCTTGGCTTTCAATACACTATAGATGTTGAGTACTCATTTCTTAAGGTAGTCGTTACACAATCAAAATGGGCAGACTCTATGCCGCTCTCAGCCACGTAAGTTATTGTCCTAGTCAGTTTAAAGCCACATTACTTATACTAACTTTAATAATTTTAGTACCCTATCATTCTAGCCGAAAATTGCGGCTGAGCAAGTTGTGATGAATATAAAGGTGATTTTTCTAGATTTTTAAAAACTAAAATGCCCTAAATGGGACGGTGTAAGCATTCTAGTTTTATCCAGTGCAGAAAATCAACTGACCGTTCAGTGACGGCCGTCCTGCAGATGGCCTCTTTTGGTCAGGCAGAGAACCACTCGATGAAGCCGGTGTCTTCTGTGGAACAACGGCCGGCGAGCCATGACGAGTTGGTTTGACACTTCCACTCCCACCCCCGGATGACGTCCATAACCCTCCCATGACGTTCACAGGTCTCGGATTCGGTTGTCCGGGTCTACCGTTCATTCCATTCCCAACATGGGAAGCTGACCCAGAAGACGACACGACTGGATGCCAGTTGCTGGAGTCTGGCTTCTCAGTTCCGGGAGGGCGTCGCGTTGGAGGTCGAGACATGGAGGTCATGGGCCTTTTTTTCGAAGCTCCCGCCAGAGGAAGGTTACCCTGGACTCGCATGTTCTGAGGTGGCATCAGTGGCATGGTGCTCCTCTTGACTGCTGTCGAGGTTGGCGTGGTCAAGGCGCCCGATTCTCCTTGTCGGATGATCACTGACGGAAGTTTACCGCCCACTATCCTTCCCAGGACTCCAGCGGACAAGTCTTGGTCGTCTGTGACGGCAGAGTCATCGAGCCTCTCGAGTTGGTCATTTCGTATAGCGCTAACGACGTTCGTTGCAAGACAAAGCGTCAGCAAGAAGATGCATGATTCCTGAGGGCAAGACAAAAAAATACCAAATTAAGCTAAACCCAATGTCAGGGAATGATTATTGCAGTACAGGATACTACCATCCCTTTGCAAAAAGAGGCCGTACTTGAAACGAACTTGAAATATATTGAATACGAATATTCATTTTGTATTCATTCTGTATTATTTTGTCCCCATTCGAAGTACGTGCGAAAGGTATTCAAAATATATCATAAATATTAATTAGAAAAACTTTTCGATATACCAAATATATAATTCGTTGCCCCTCAAAATGACATTTGTGCACTTTTTAGTGCACAAATGGCATTTTGAGGGGCAAGGAATTATATTTTTGGTATGATCTAAAATTGATATATTTTGAATACCTTTCGCACGTATTTCAAATGGGGACAAAATAATACAAAATGAATATTCGTATAGCTACACCGCTACACCAGCTACACATTTCTGGGGGGATTTTGTTAGTAAATGTGTCCTTGCGGTATTTGAAGGCACTACTAAATACATCCCACAAATAACCATTAGAAACGAACACAAACACAAACACCACGACGCACTGGACACCTGAATGACAGTCCCGTTCACTGCTCTAGAGTCTTATATAGCCTACATATTGGAGGTAATCATTTGGCCGGTGACCAGCCCTGCACTTATTAAGGTTCCAAGTATTCGATATTCTCCTCGGGAGTCTGTCGAAGGGGAAACCGTCTTTTGAAGTTCGTGGACGATATCTCTTACTACAAGCATTAATACAGCTAATAATAATTCGGCGCAGTCGCTAAAACAATATCCATAAAATCGGCTCCTAGAAACGATTTTATTGCTTCTCTGCGTAGCACCACCCAGGATGAAGCGAGTGAAGCTAGTTTCTTCACTTTAAAATAGTTATTTTGCTTTCCTTTACTAGTTGACTATTTAATATGGTACTTAACGTCACTATATTAAAGTCGTAATTATAATACAATTAAATGCAAAGGTGCAAGCGAGCTGGACAAGAATGACGAAAATAATTCCTGGGGAAGGGGAACAAGAGTGACAAAGGGCAAATACAAAGAGGGACAAAGGACAAATTGTGTTTGTCCTTTGTCCCTCTTGTTCCCCTTCTCCAGGGATTATTTTCGTTATTCTTGTCCAGCTCGCTTGCACCTTTGCATTTGATTGCATTATAATTAATTGCAAGCTTCACCCTTGTTGGTGTTAGACTGGTGGCTGCTAATAAAACCCGTTTGCTCTACTGACGTCTAACCCCTGGTTAGCTCAGTTGGTAGAGCGCTCCATGTGTAATGGAGAGGTCCCGGGTTCGATAGATACCCGGACCAGGCGGATTTTTTCGGTCGCTCACCAGTTACTTAGCTGTGTTTGGAGTTTGTGTTTGTCCTTTGTCCCTCATGTTCCCCTCTCCAGGGATTATTTTCGTCATATTAAAGTCATTGCTCACATCATGTACAATGGTGAGTATACACATTCAGTGAACTAACATTGTGTTAACACAATTGCACGCCAAACATATCTGCTCACAGCACTTTCTGAAGCTTTCCAGTATCAGCAAGTGTTGTGGCTGTAGTTCCCGAACCCCGTTTGTGATTGGTGCGCAAGAAACTCATCAGGTCTGTTCTTGATAGAAAAAAGGAAACAATAACATAAACTGCGCTGATTTATCAGTCCGATGCTGCACAACTCAATTGACAAACTAATCAAATGTGTTTAGGCGCTTCAGTGTACTGCAAATCTGCTTGAAGTGAACTTCTGATAGGCGAGCTTTTCAATACTTTGGTTGTTTAAGTCAGACTAGCAAAGTATTGCACTCAAAAGATACTTAGAGCATAATATAAGAGTATTTACGATTTCCAGGTATTTTAAGAGCCTTCTGCACATATTTTTCATCGCTGCATTTTTATTAGGGTTGGAGTATATTTTGCATGAAATAAATACATATTTTACAAAATCTATGTGAAAGGTATTTTGGGCCTACTAATTTAGTATTTACATATTTCAGAACGCATGAAGGGAACTTCAAATGTAGTTTAAATAAAGGTATTTTTAAAAGATTTTCAGAAATATATTTTAGTACTGAGTAAAAAAAAAAAAGTGTATATTTTCGGTCTATTTATTGTGTACTTACAATTATGAACTGTACTTCAAATACACTCAAATTAGAATGTGGTATATTTCAAACGTCTTAGTTTTCGCTAAAGGATAGAACATAAACAGAAATCTAAACTCCCCAAAACAGAGACGACTAGTCCATTTTCTTGAAACTGTTTCAACGATATGACATGCAGTGCACGAGTATTAGTTCAGACATGTGGATCTTCTCATCGTTAATACGTAATTATTGTGAAGAGGGATGAATATCAATACGATTGTGCGAAATAACTCTGTAAACTTTATAACTCTCACCCTCGAAGCTATAGTATAAGTACATAATCAATCCGTAGAGGAGATAAACGATTGAAAATAACTCTTCCCGCATTAGGTTTGATTGTTTAGAAAAAAAAATAATTATGCCGCAGCCTCTGATGAAGTGCAATCACTCTAAAAAAAAAAATTTTAAAAAGCCCGTGAGTCTGCTTTCCCGCACAACGCTCGGAGAGCCAATCAACGCAGTTTACAGAGGCAGCTCAGCGCATGACGATGCCGAAACATATGTTTAAACGAAAAAACGTAGTCCTAGTTGTGATATTAATCAATGCAAAACGTCACGCTTGTATTGCTCAATGTGACAACTCAGACCTGCGTTTTTCTGGTACTCTCTAAGAAATGTCCTGCGCGTCTACTTACTCGCAAAACACTTGAAGTTCCATTCTCTGCGGTCAACGAAACCAACTCAGCGAATGAGGAGGCAGAACTTCTGTTTAGACCTCAAAATTTAGTCTTCGCTGTGGCATTACGCAATGCAAGCATGACGCTTCGCATTGCATTGCGGAATGCCATGGCGCAGACTTCATTTTTGGGTCTAAACGGATGTTCCGCGTCATCATTCGCTGAGCTGATTTCGTACATCGCAGAGTTTGGCTCTTTTAATGTTTGGCGGTTAAGTAGACGCACAGGCATTTCTTAGAGCGATAGCATACTTGTATTACAAAATATATTATAAAGATATAAAATACGACTGACCGAAACGATGTTCTTCTTAGTGCTAAACACCATAGTCACTAGTAAGAAACGCAGGGTGTGGCTTATTATGTTGACACTCATTGTTTTGTGCTTGGTTCTTGTGCATTCTTACCGGCGAATGCCACACTGTGATTGGATGCGAAGCTATAATGAGATGCTTGGGACAGGACCACGCCCTGTGTTTATTGAGCTTTCAGTGACCCTATATTTCCCTCATAACAAGCGGTTCAAACTGACTTAGGCCGGCATACAATCAAAAACGCGGCATCAAATTAGAAAGAAACTTTTGTTTCGGTATTTTTTTTCTGCCTTCTGTGAGACTTGTGCACGCGACTGGTGATTCACGTAACAAAACACAACTTAAAAAACACCGATTTTGGGTGTGTTTTTTTTTTCTTTTTTTTTTCTGTCTTTTTTTGTTGATGTTATTTTTGAACGTCTGAGCGACTCTGAGAAAATTAACGCAAACGTTGTTGTCGACCGGAGCTGCTGCCTTCCGCTTTTTCCGCCGAAAACCCGAATCCAATTAGAGTTTCCTTCCTACTTGAGATAGCCTTCCGTGCCCTTGAAAAATAAATGTAAGCGATGGCGTGACTACGCATAAAGTACCGCTCTACCGGTCACATGACACTGGCCTTGCTCCAAGAAGTCTGTCTCGCTGATGAAGTTTATTTTAGAGCAGTCTTGCTTACGGAGCGAATGTTGCGAACTACTCGGCACTCCACGAACACCGGGTAAACAAAACATTTCCTATGTTTTCCTCGCGAAACGTTAGCACACTACGACAGCATCGACAAGGCGATTGGGCCCGAGTCCAGTAACGCAGCACTCGTATACAATACGTTCCCGCGCTCAATCGTACACCCTAAAAGAAAAAAAAAGAAAAAAACTTCTGTGTATTTGTTTTTCTGCAGAACACAGAGACAATCAACCACGGCGAACCACAGACGGATCTCATCGAATGACGAAGATGACACTACGACTAGATCTAAAAAATATGATGTGGTCGAGGACAATAAGCTAATGAAACGTCATGCTCATTGTCTTCGTGCTCATCATATTGCTTGTTTTATCGTATTCTGAATTTTGTTACTTTCTAGGGTCCCACCGTTTGGCTTGATTGGTTGTATGTGTGCTCTGCAGAAAAGCGAGCGCAACTTTTTTTTTTCTAGTGTAGTGTGCGGTAATATTAAAGTGCAAGACCCACAGGCTGTCTAGTCCAGCTACTATTCGCTCCACATGCTATCTCACTCGCATTCGTCGGTCGAAAAGGAACCAGTTGAGTTGACTTACCTGTCGCCGGTCCTTCATCGCAGGTCGTCGTTTGGCCCCAGCAAAGCGGCTTTCCCCGTCAGCTCGCCTTCACCGTCTCGAGTTGCGCGGAACAGCGAACCCCCGTCCGACCTTCGTTCCACATTAGGCGGAGGAATCTTCGCTCATTACGGCCACAACTTCCTCCTTAAAACGGTTCCTTATCTCCCACCCACCCACTCCTTCTTCCAGCACAGCTTTCTTGCTTACTTCCCTGGCCTGGGCGTCGCTCTGTCCGGCGCCGTCTTCGCCGCCGTTGCCCCGTCCCTGTCACCGGTGACCTGGCACGCGCAACACGAGCTCCAGAACGGCCCACGCTCGCGGACGATCGAATCAAAACCGCTCCGTGTTTCCCCTAATTGCCGCAACCGCGTTCAAAAGCGCGAACGACACGCCGGCACGCAAAAAAATAAAACCGGCGCAGCGTTCATGAAGTTGCTCCCGTTTCGAGCCGGGCCGGATGCGCTTCTGCAGGTCGGTGGAGCTTCGCCGACGCGTATACGCGGTTATTCCGACAGCGTCGTCGTCGGCATCTTCCTAGGGGCTCCAAACTGTCGGCCGCCGGTGGTGAACAAAGAGGAGCCGGCGTAGACACCTCTCCGCGAATGCCTTGCGCGCGAGCTTCCGAGATTCGGTTCCATGGAAATAACCGCGGGAATGGTGAAGGCGCTTGGTTGGTCTACCCATGGGCGTAGCATGCAACGCACTCAAGGCGAGACAGTCCATCGACAACAAACACCACCCCATGCGCGCGTGGGGACGACCCCCCGCCTAAGTGGTCATCCGAAATAAAGGAAACTGCGGCCGTCGCTTCCCGTACCCAGAAAAATCCAACACTGGCATAGAAAGACAAAAAAAATACCAAAGGTGCAACAGCAACTCTCCTCGTTAAGGTTGTTGTTCGAGTCGCTGCACAGATAAATGGCTTTCCGCACCCGCGGGATTGGCGCCGACACTGTGGCGCTTTCTGTTTGCTTCTTGCTGTACTTTTAGATTTTTTTTTTTTTCTTCTTCCTCTTATGATATTTTGATACTTAAAGTTCCGCTCGCGCGGCGACGACCAGTCGCCGGTGTGTGTTTCCGCAAGGCGGCTCTCGTCCGCGCTCGTTATACAATACACGGCGTCGATAGCTGTGTGAGATTGGGACGCGGCAAGACAGGGAAAAAAACACACTCCGGGAAATACAGAGCACCAGAGTCTTGTCCAGCCCCAACCACAATAAACGAAGTCGCGTATTGCGAAGCTGCCACTTGGAACGACTTCGGAGTTGCGGCCTGTTTTTCACTGCGGACGTTCTTCTTATATTTTCTGGTCAAGAACCCCTCTATTCTCGTGTTCTTGTTTTGTTTTGTTTTGTTTTCTTTTGTTTCGTTTGTCAGGGCGCCTTCAGGTCACCTCCTTGATGGACATGACGTCCCGTTTGCGTTTTCAAACTCGGGAGCGCGTTAACTGTCGGGTCTGTCCCGCCCGATAGCCAGGGGGATTCCCGTATACGTTCGGCATGTACATTTTTTGTCTTTTTGTGTGTGTGTGTCTGTTTCTTATCTTGTTTGGTGGAGCGTGCCGACACTTGCGAAAGGACAAGGGCTTCGCGTGACTACGGGCAGTTAACCTTCATCGCAACGCAGAAAGGAAGTATGGAGGGATGGATGCAGTTTTATTAACCAGATCGTCTAAAAAGAGCGCCAGCAAGAAAAAGGCGTTCATTTACAAACGTTGAGGCCTGGGCCGAGTTGGTACGACATACTTCGGGATTAAAAACAGCGCAAAAGACGAATGACCAGACGAAGAAGTAACACGGACGCAGCGCGGTTTTCTACTGAGTTTATCGATCGCAAAGTCGTAATATATATGCGTTGTCACGAACAAAAAAGGAACAAAAAAGCTAAAGGAGGAATTCAGCCCACGTGATACATCACCAACAAAAAAGGAGCCACGACAGAGCCGTATAGAGCACGTGCTAAAAAAACCAGCAAGTCAAGGAACTAGCAAAAAACATCTCCTTGCCTGATAGGGTCATCGAAGGACTGCTTACACATGCAGCGCCCAACCTCGCTATCTCAACAGCCTCCAGAATTTCACGAGTAAGCTAATCCCTGTGTCGCTTAACAGCCTCACACCGTTGGAAGTCGGGTAGGCAACCACAGTCGCGGCACTGAATGTCAAGATGACCAGACACGGTTGTGGAGACGCTGTAGGCGTGCTCTCTTAACCTGTCATTGAGGCAGCGGCCCGTCTGGCCAATGTCTAGATAATTCATCTAGACGAACTAGATAATTCACTTCTTTGTCCTATCAGGCAAAGAGATAAATTTTCTATTTCATTGACTTGCTTGTTTTTTGTTGTTTTTTTAACGCGTGCTCTGTACGGCTGCGGCATGGCGCCTTGTTTCTTCTTTTTTTTTTTTGTGATGTATCGCGTGGGCAGAATTCTTCCTTCAGTTTCTTTTCTTTTTTTTCTCTTTTTTTTGTGTTCATGACAGCGCATGTATATATTGCGATTTTGCGATCAATAAACTCAGTAGAACAGCGCTGCGTCCGTGTTAATTCTTCGCCTGGTCCTTCGTCTTTTGAGCTGTTTTTAATCCTGAAGGTGTTTTTATACTCCGTTTCGAGCTAAGATCGGTCACAGTCGATGCTATAGGATCTGCCGTGGTCCTCAATTTTTTTTTATGTGCAAGATTGGCATACTCAGCAGTAGCGAACGCACAGAAACGATGACCGCCGTCACGAGGTACTTTTGGTAGAGATTGATTCGCACCATCGGGTCAGCGTCGGCTGTGCTCGAATTTACATGAAAGTAAGCATGGCAAGTGAAGACGTTCTTCGTTGCTCCGCCTTTGAATCGAGTTCAATGGGCTCGGTGATGCCTCGGCGTCATGGTGTAATGCTTAATCTCGCGCGTGCAGTCCGAGCAAAATTTCAGGCTGCAGTTTAGTGTTGAGGCAATGACCTCTTGAAGGAAATTGTTCCCTCTAAGTCGTCAGTGAGACGCAATAAAATGTCCTATTGTGCAAGTTTTTTTTTTTAGTAAACGAAGGCGCTTGCTGGAAACGTTGATTGAGTCAAAACCGGCACTACTTCGCGGAAAGCTTCAGTTAGGTTAGATTGGCTTTGCTCAATTTCACGCGAAATGCAATTTCATTTAATTTCTCGTACGTCAGATATGTCGAAAGAGGGGATTTACGTCGCCCGTTTCTACGAAAGTGACACTGCATGATGGCAAACGGTAACTTTTATTCTGATGAGAAGTTTCACCATGAAGAAAACAAAGAAAGTGTCGAATGAAGAATCCGAACGGCAATTTCTTTGTGTTTCGACACTTGCCCGCACACATCTCGCAGGCGGAACCGATTAACATCTTCCCAAATTTCGCGAGCAATGCTGCTAATAAAACCGGAATAAAACTCTAGATGCCCGAAGCACCCCTTCTTTAAAGCTTCGAAATTTATATTTACTTTTTATGGTGCAGAGGTTTTGTATGGCATCTGATTCCCCGAATGGATATCAGCATTCGAAGAAAGAATGTTTACCCTTCACATATTTCTTCTGTTTTCACACTTTTTTATGTATTTTATACTCGTGGGACGGACTTGTGTGACGGGGAAATACCTTTTTGTCTCAGTCATGAACCGCTTTTTTTAATGAAGCGAAACGCGGCTGCCCCTACGTGACCAGCATGCAAGAGGAACTTCGATGAGCGGAAATAAAAGTGGGAGTTCTACACGAGGTAGCAGCGGCGAGGCTCCTTTGCTATTTCTTTCTTTATCAGATAATCACAATCGTTGCTACGAACCATTTTAAAGAACACTCTCGACTAATATAGCTGAAAATACACGAGGATGAGGCAATACACCTCTTTTGAAGGCGGTATCAACAAAATCGACCCGTCATTGTCAGGTACAGCTTAAGAGAATCAAGGCGTGTCTCATCATGTTCAAGCTGCTTGCTTTGTGATTGGTTCGTTCGCGTCCATGTCAGGCAGTGCCGCAATTTCATTGGTTGTGTAGCGACAATAAGGTGTTTGAAGGTTCTCACACCCTGAGTGTTCAGTGACTAAAGTCACTTTTCACAGTCACGTCCTTAACACTACATTCTGTTGTATCATTTTGCTAAGTTACGAACACAAGGGTTTTCATAAACTTTGTTTGGAGCTGGGAAACTAGGTCCTACAGTAACATTGATAACATTGTTAATACTTCGTTACATTGCCGAACATTTTTAGTTTGCAAGAAAGATGGGATTAATTACAGTGGACAATATTTTCGCATAACTCTAGTTCCCCGCTAACGCACCGTGTTTATACCAAGGTAAAAAAAAATCATGATTTGTTTAAAGTCCTATAAATCAAGTATTTGATTTAAATCATTAATATTTTGTCACTGGATGTATTTTTATACATCTCAGATTGATTGATCAATCCGTGCTATCACTGAAACAATCCGGAACAAATAGTTACTGTAACCCAAAGTACAGTTTGAGTATCAACATTTTAGTGATGTACTCCTAGCCTTACTATAATCAAAATAGCTTAATTTGTAGCTACTTAAAATGCCTCAGTTTCTCTCCATTTTGCCTCATGATTTCCATGCGTGGGGAGGCTGCATAACTGACGAACGGAGTGTAAGTTAGAAAGAAAGTTCAACAGTTTGATTTGCTCAGAAGAGTGCTGCTTTTAGCCCGTGTTCAACCTTGTACAAATATTATTTGCTCAATTATTCTTTTACCTAAATGCAAAACAATTGCGCACAGGAGGTTTTAAATGTGAGAAATAAAAGATAAGTAAAAAAATATTTTCCGAATTCTTTTTTTGGAAAACGTTTGATCTAGATCATCATTGTAAAACTGGTTTGATTTAAATCACGATTTAAGCAGTGATTTAAAAATCTTCATAATTTTGTATTCTCCATACTGAGTTACACCGCCTTTAGAACGTTTTCACGCATTCATTCATTCATTTATTCATTCATTCATTTTAAAAGCCCAAAGACCAGCTTCACGCTCCTTTGGTAGCGCGCTTTCGAAATAAATAATTACAAAATAAATCAGGATAATAAAGATAAAGAGATATATAAACTTAAAAAAATATCATCAACGCACCTTCGAAATTAACGCTGGATGCAAAATATTTCAAGGTTCGTGTTCGAAGCAGTCTGTTCAAGGATGCTATATGTAACTGTACGTGTTCCATAGCTACTGTGATATACAGATAAGAACGACAAAACGGTAAACGCAGTCTAGAAGGCTTCGAGAAACGCGTAAGTAGACAAAACTCAGTAGCGCAGGTGAATCAATTATGTAATCCAGGAGCTTATGCAGGAACATCAAATCACGGATCGTCCACCCATTATGCAATCAACTAAAGTTAATAAAGCTGCATATTTGTTTTTACTTTACTGTAATCATAGATTGAATGATAGTAACGATCAAATAATACACAAATATATATTTTTGGGCACGCTCATGTAAAAAGAAACAAAAAGAAAATAAGTTTAAACTTTGAAAAAGGGAATTTTTTTAAGGGCACCAGGTACTGTCCAGCGAAGGACCTCGTACTAAATTAAAACACCCATGAAACTTTGAAAGTGCAACCGAAATCTCAGTTACGCGGTGAATTCACCCCGATAAGCTTACGTCAAATTGCGGGCAAAGTTATTCGAAAAATTGCTTATTGTGCGTTTAGTGCTACTCCGGGCCCAAAAGGACTCATTTATAGTAGCAAAACTCAAAA